AATAATCCAATGCAGAGGCAATAATGAAATACATTATTTTATATATATTAAAATATGTATATATGTATTTTTATATAGTCTTATATATAAAACTGGCCCTTTGAGTGCAACCATGATGCGAATGTGGCCTTAGATGAACTTTGAGTTTGACACCCCTGCTATGTACTAATATGAACCTGATAATTAGTCCTCCTTAAATCCAGGCTGAATAATCGTGTTTTTGTAAATCACTTTGAATTGCCTTGTGTTGAAATGTGATTTATGAATAAACGTATTATATTAAAAACATTTTCTCTCTGTTTCTTAGCTTCTGAAATCTAAAGGTATCAGATTGGAGCGAGGCGTCGTGCAGCCCGGCGGACTACCTGCCCGTAAAGACCCCCGTCACGACCCGATCTCCCAGAACATGATCACCCGGAGCCACAAGCCCAAGCAGGGCCACACCCCCGGGGCCTCTCCATCCTCCAAGGAGAAAACAAAGGACACCATCAGCCCCGGTAAACCTCTCTCCCCCCACCAGCCTCCTCAGAGGAAAGCGAAACTCCTCCACGCCTCCGACAACCTAAAGATGGCGATAAATGAAGCGGCGCTCGAATGCCTCAAAGAAGGCGAGAAAGTTTACGCTGGAGCAAAGTTTAGCGAGCCGCCGTCACCGAGTGTCCTTCCCAAACCACCAAGCCACTGGTTCGGAGAAAAGGAAGCTCCAGAGAGTAGCCAGAGCCGAGAGCAGATGACCTCTCACCTGAAGTCTCTGCTGAAGGTACAAGATAAATCATGACCGCATCTCATGTGGGATTTACACCTAATGCCAACAATTTGAAAAAGAAACAGGCATTGAGGAAAAAGACTTTTAACACACTGCAATAAGTGGAGGTTAGTTTTTATTCACCGTAGTACATTTTCCCGTGATTCAACATGCTGCCTGCATATGTGAACATGTTGGAGATGTTGTTGCTGACTGACATGCTGAGCGTGTGGAATATTTTCTTGTTGGTCGAGGAAAGAGAACATTTTAGTTGTAATGTAGGACAGTGTGTCGTCGAGTCTCCAGCAGCAGCAGCAGTATCTCACATCATGCAAAGTGACGACAGCACTTTCTCTGTGAATACTTTTGAAAAGGCAGCCATTTTCTTTCTTTTTTTTAAAGAGCTCGTGCAAATGTACATAATATATTGTAAACATATATTTGTGTATATTTTTTCCTTGTTATTTTAACAGATTTCTAGTTTTGTTACTGAGGTTTTTCCACAAAAAAAAAAAAACGTGAAAAATATCCCCTACGGATCGAGGCATTTGCTACTTCAGTTTGAGGCTCAAGACGGACTTTTCTAACTGATTTGCACTGAGAACTGGGAGAGAAAGGAGGGATTTCGATGTTCCCGAGCATGTCCACGTTGATGCATTCACCAAGAGAGGACTTCCACATCCTTACTGGGAAACTTTCAAAATGGCTACAATGGCGGACGAATCAAAAAGCCAGGATTTACAATCTGCTAGCTGAAGGGTCTTTTCCTTTATCACCCGAACGTGGTGCAACGCCAAAATGTCGGATCAGGGATCGTGAGGCTGCTGAAGCCTCAAAGAGACGAAAAGGAAACGAAAATATGTCTCAACGATGTGTCTGAACAATGTGTCTCAACAATGTGTCTCAACAATGTGTCTCAACCAGCTGCTGCAGAGAGCCAGCATCCATTATCCTTAATGCACTGACTCAGAGTACGTTCACATTAAGCTAAGATACATTTACAATATATTTTTCCGTCTGTTTCATGGTCTCTCCCCGGGCTGGGCGATATGGAGAGAATTGAACATCACAATTTCATTCTGTCTACGAAATAGTTTGACGATATTGTAGGGTTTCAGAAAATATGGGCTGCACAATTATTCGTCATTTTATCTGTGCGTTATCCAGAATTGCAGTAAGCACAATATTTGGTAAAATATCTGAAGTATTGTGGAGCTGCAGAGTAGTCTACAAATTACTCTTTAAAAAAAATATTTCTTTGGTGCAGACCCTCTTACAAAAATCACACTAATGTCATTTTAATATACGTTCAATGATAGTGTGAGTCTAATATCCTTCTTGCAAAATAAGTTATTTTGTCCAAGTTGTGCGGCCCTAATTTAGTTTACTATGTGTGTTTATTGACTAAGTGGGTAAAGGCAAAGCTAGTACAGTGTGATGAATCCAGAAAGTTACACAATGCAGCCTTTCAAACCAGGAAACACTTAGAAAACCCCAAAACCAAGACTATAAATATCTTGTTTCATTAACGATATAAATATCATTTTAATATATCGCTCAGCCCCGATCCGTCCACACTGACATTTTGTGTTTTACACCTGAAGACTCGTTTTTTTTTTTTTCAGAGTTTGTGGGCTTGGCGTTTCTTATGTCTATCAGGGAAAACTGATCTTAGCGTATGAAGAAATCCTGCCCGGTTGAGGAGTGTGTGGCAAAAACAACTTCTGTCACTTCCTGCTTCCTCTGTGATCATTGTTATTGTTACAATAGGAGAACGACCACAGCTGTTTTGTCAGAATGTCCATAGTGGATTGCCAAAGAAATGGAGAGTTCGTGTCATTGTTTAAGCAAAAAAAATCGAAACAAATGCTGATTTTAGCTTTAAAAAAAAAGGACAATTTGCCATCGAAATGTTTGGATTTTAGCACTTTCTTGGATAGAAACCCAGAAATATGTCACTTAACTTCAAGAGGAAGCCCCTTTCTGACATTGTGTACAATAATTGAAAACAATAGGTCGATTAATAAGGAGAATTATAATATGTTTGAGCCTATAAGGATATGTTGATCAGCACTGGATGAGTAACGTGTAGTATTTATTAGATACATGTTCCATTATCTGGCGTTATGTACAGATAAACGTATGTAAGTGAGGGAAACGACATTAAGTGATCACAGGAGGAAAGGAATGATTGAAGCTGCACGAACGAGAAGAGGTGATTCTGTTTCAGTGTGGACGCACTTTGTTTTTAAAACGTTTTAAAGATTGTATGGCTTCATGTGGGCGGGGTCTCTTTATTCTGTATATTTAGTCTTTTTAAAGGGGACTCGTTTCACACACTTCACTCCACATACCTCTTTTCCTTTCTTTCTAAAGCACGTTGATGTTTACCAAGAGTGCAGTATGTGTTGATTTGGCACAGATGACCTTGTGATGATGTACCATGTGTGTTTTGTTTTTGATGGTTTCTGTCGACGCAGGCAGCTTCTTGACCTCTGTGACGTCACGTGAATGGAAAATTGTATTACTAGAGCAAAAACTGCCCATTTTTATTACAGTGTTTTAAAATGATGTCATTCCAATAATGAGAAACACAACTCCATGCAACCATTTGGGAAAAGAAACAAAAAGAAGAAGTTTATTTTATGAAGAATGTCTTTCATATCTAAATTAAAAATTATATTAAAATATTGACTACCCCCTAAATATGCTTCTGTGTCTATTTCAACATTGTTGTCTTTAAGAAAAATGTGTAAAATTGCAACACGATTTAAAACACGGGTACCATGGGAACAGAAAAGAAGATAGAAATATTATTAAAACGCTGCTTTTCTTTCTCCTCTGACAATATTTGAATACAAAAAAAGCTTTAAATTCAATTAATTTGGTAGTTAGTACCAGAAAATGACCATTATAGGGCCCCTTTAAGTAGATATTCTTTATTGTAACAAGTTCATATTAAAAAATAATGTTCTCACCTGTGACTAATGAAGCTCAGCGCAAGTTCAACCAGGAAGACCGTCTTTACTCATCCATTTACTATTTCCATGTTATTACTTTCTCTCCTCTCAATAAGTGATCGGGGGCGTCACTCCCCAGCTTAACCAATCACTTCGCTCTATTCTCACAAGCCTATCATAGCGCTCCGCTTACTCTTTTAAATCTGCTCTCCACTCTGACAGCTGTCATTTCAGGTGACTCGACGCAACCCTCCTCCACCCCCTTTTCACCTCCTGTCCCTCTGAATCCAGGGTCGCGCTAAGCCCCTCCCCTTCAGACCGACCCCAACTATCCATTCACCACCACCAGGGTCAAGCTAAGCCCCTCCCCTTCAGACCGACCCCAGCTATCCATTCACCACCACCAGGGTCAAGCTAAGCCCCTCCCCTTCAGACCGACCCCAACTATCCATTCACCACCACCAGGGTCAAGCTAAGCCCCTCCCCTTCAGACCGACCCCAGCTATCCATTCACCACCACCAGGGTCAAGCTAAGCCCCTCCCCTTCAGACCAAACCCAACTATCCATTCACCACCACCAGGGTCAAGCTAAGCCCCTCCTCTTCAGACCGACCCCAACTGTCCATTCGCACCCCCAGGATCAAGCTAAGCCCCTCCCCTTCAGACCGACCCCAGCTATCCATTCACCACCACCAGGGTCAAGCTAAGCCCCTCCCCTTCAGACCGACCCCAACTATCCATTCACCACCACCAGGGTCAAGCTAAGCCACTCCCCTTCAGACCGACCCCAACTATCCATTCACCACCACCAGGGTCAAGCTAAGCCCCTCCCCTTCAGACCGACCCCAACTATCCATTCACCACCACCAGGGTCAGCCCCCGGGGGGTTTCATCGG